TTATATAACTAAACTATTGTTGTATGTAAAGTAAACAAGGTGTTCAGAATGTTTAAGAAGCTTCCTTTAAAATTAAATTAAAATGCTGATCTTATGCCACCAGCCTGCTCAGCCCACTTCCAGCTTGGGGTTCTGTTCACCTAGGCCTGCAGCGGGCTGAGCGGGGCGACTCGAGGTCAGGGCAGAGGGCTGGGGGGGGGGTGGAGGTGCAGGGCAGAAGGCTGGGTGTTGCGGGGAGGTCAGAGCAGAGGGCTGGAGGGTGTGTGGGGGGTGCAGGGCAGAAGGCTGGGAGTTGGGGGGAGGTTAGGGCAGAGGGCTGGGGGTGTGTGGAGGTGCAGGGCAGAGGGCTGGGGTGCTCAGCTCATGGGGGTGCTCCGAGCCCCCTGCCCTGAGCGGCTCATGGCAGGGGGCTGGGAGGGATATGCCCTGTTCCATCCCCTTCCCCAAGGCCCATCCCTACCTCTCTCTGCCTGCTCTACAGAGCAGCGAGCACGCTGCGCTTGGCTCTGCTTCGCTCCCCCTCTCCCTACCAAGGGAGAGGTGGGAGGAGGAGGGGCCGGAACGTTGTGGGAAGAAACAGGAGGGGAGGGGGAGCTTGGCTGCCACAGGACCAACCTTCTGCCTCCTGCCCCCACAGGGGAGAGCAGTGGGGGGGGGGGCAGGACTCCCCCGCACCACTCTCCCCTGCAGGAGCAGGAGGTAGAAGCTTGGTCCTGCAGCAGCCAAGCTTCCCTCCTCCCCCTTCTTCCCCCAGCCTGGTGCATTCCGGCCCCTCCGCTCCTCCTCCTCCTCCTCCTCAGTGGACAGCAGTGTGCCACTCAAAATTGGCTTGTGTGCCGTAGGTTGCCGACCCCTGGCTTAGTTAATCCACCTCCCCAAGATGTGATAGCTGTGTCGATGGGAAAAGCTGTCCCGTTGACATGACACTGTCTACGCAGGGGGTTAGGTCGATGTAACGGCATTGCTCAGTGTGGATTTTTCACACCCCTGAGTGACATAGTTACACCAATATAGGTCTGTAGTGTAGACCCGACCTTTATTTCCAGAAAGTAATGGCTAACACATCTTCCTTTTCAGCTGGATGTTGTCTTGGAGACCAACCTGGCAACAATCAGAGTCTTAGAGGCAATCCAAAAGAAACTCTCCCGCTTGTCTGCTGAGGAGCAAGCCAAATTCCGGCTGGACAACACTCTGGGTGGCACGTCGGAGGTGATCCACCGCAAGGCGCTGCAGAGGATATATGCTGACAAAGCGGCCGATATCATAGACGGGCTGAGGAAAAACCCATCTGTTGCAGTTCCTATTGTGCTGAAAAGGTACTTCCCAGGTTTCGGCATTATTACTTGTGTTTGGATAAAAGTCATCTTATGCTAGGCACTATCCAAACGTATAATATACACAGAGGCTCCAGTTCAGGAAAGCATACAGTCTGAGAAATGCGGATGCTTTTTATGTTCTAATAAGTGGTTGCGTTTCATAGTACCCAGCTACTATTGTGTCTATTAAAGCCAAAACATCACTGGCCCTGCTGGCAGGATATGGATTTTTTATTTTTCCTACCCAAGATAGGGCAGTCTTGAGTTCAAAAATCAGGCTGGGGTGGGGTTCTGTATTGTCAATTTTCAACACAACTGAGTTTGATCCCATCTGTGAAAATGAACAAGGCTTTGAAGTGTAGAGTCTGTATTGGATTCAGGTTCCAACTCAAAAATTACTGTGTTCTACTGCCAGCCTCCTGATCAGAAAAAGGAAGTGAGTGCACAATATTGAGGGGGGGCCAGAGACCGCTCTCCTGAATAATAGTTATAACGGGCAATTTCAACTCCCCATATATAAAATGTCAACTTCTGGAGAAGGTGGGGAGAAGGAGTTTTTCAATATTTTAAATGGTTGCTTCTTGTAATAGCTAGTCTGTAGCTACACAAGAGGAGAGGTTATTGACTTAGCCCTGAATAACACTCAGATACTGAATCAAGAAATAACTATGGTCAAACCATTGAGTGGTAGCGATCACAATATATAACAGTCCAGCATCTTTGATGGAAGGGATTATACCAAAAATTAGCACTGTGATATGAGACTTAGGAAAGTGGAAGCTAAGTTAAAATTTGGACAATTTTACAATCTTTAAAGCATGGATTCCTGATCTATAGACTACAGGTCGTCAGTGTGGTCTTGAATAGAAAGAGAGGTGGTTGACAGAATTTTCTTATACATCCTCAATCTCTGCAGTGAATTGAAGCAAATATGCCATTACTGTATATTGAAAAAACTAACAAATCCCCCACCTAGCTGGAATTCTGTGTTGTGGTCACCCTATCTCAAGAAGGACATCTCAGTAATAAAGGACTCAGAAATGAGCATGGGGGGAAGATGAGGCATGGGAAGACTGTGAGAAGTGATTGATGTTAATGAGACTATTTAGGTTTGAGAGATAGTGGTATCACAGACGTTTTTACAGAGGTATACAAAATCTAATCGCTGCTGCTATTTACCTTTTCATATAGAGAGTGGAGTAAGAGCCAAGCCCCCTAGTGGTCACCACGTGTCACTCCTGAGTTTAAGTGCTGTCTTCCACCCAGTTCCTTGTTGAGCATGGTCAGTGAGCTGGACAGATGAGCTGTAAAGAGAAGGTGGAAATTGAACTACAGTATTCAAAGAATGTGCCCCTACTAAACTGGCTGAAGGGGGATAGTCCATAAATGAATGGAAACTAACCTTTGTGTTCTTTATAGCTTCTCTGTCCTCCTGGCTGGTTCTGGATTTACACAGCAAGAGGCTACAACAGCGTTTTGATGGAACTGTGTCATCATACATTTCCACTTTCCAGATACATCTCTAACAATGTAGAACAAAGGATAATTAGAAATGAAAGTAATTCCCTTTAGCATTGTAGTTGCAGATTGTCAGATCTTTATTATGGTGGCTCCCTAATGTCCCCGTCAGAATTGGGGCCCCGTTCTACAAATGCAGAAACAGAACCCCTGTCTGGAAGGACTTGCTTTTATGTTGCATCATGTTGAGGACCTCTGCAGTCTCCAGCAGGTTCTCTACTGAGGCAGGGCATTATGTGAGAACTAGACGTAAAGAAACGAGAGATGAAAGGAGAGGGGTAAGACCATGAGGAGGTGATCTTAGACACCAGAGTATGGACATGGTATAAAAACTAGATTAGAAGAGGGATATAGGTTTGCGAAGGGACTGCCAAGTAAGAGTTACTTCTGGGATCTGTGTGCTTCTAGACTCCTGGAATGTTTAGCAATTATATCTCTGCAAAGTTCCCATGTCTCATCAAAAGTATGTAGGCTGCCTAGTTGTAAATTGTGATTCTTTAATCCTCAGTGAAGAGAGAGCTGGCTTTTCCATTATGTCAAGATGTGAGAGGTGGAGGGATGTCTGATTTCCCAACTTGTGTATGTTTTTCCCTTAAACATGATCAAATTGGTTACAGTGCACTCTTTGTGAAGTGACAGAATCGACTTCTTTCTTCTAGGCTAGGTATAAGCTGGCTGAAACGTTCAGAGTTTTGTGTATGCCTGTGTTGCATGGGGTGAAAAGAATATCTAGATACAGGACCATAAAAAGTATCAGAGAAGTTTGAGAGCTCTGAAATGTCTGGCAAGTGGTTAAATCCATGTATTAAATAAATGATGGGATGTGTCAGATACCAGGGACCCCTTGGGGCAGCTGGTTATAACAGCTGAGATTTCTGTTGTTTGTAACTTCTCACAAAGCAGAATTCTGGGATATTGACAGTGAACCCAGACCCAGTCCTGGTACTCTGTAGGAGGTATACAGGAAAAAAAAAAGTTTGGTTTATGTTCTGTTGAATGCCCTCATCACCACCCTGGTTAGTGGGGTATAGCCATGCATTTGTGGCCTATTTAACCTTCTGTAAAATAACATAGCCACAAAACCAATCTAAAGATTCATGGCCATTTCTGGAGAATTTTGCTATGCACGTTGTACCTCATTTGAAGTCCTTCTGAAACTTTCTGCTGTTTCAGTGAGTAGAAGCCTTACTGCCTCCAGTTTGTCTGGTCTAGGTTTTTATCCTACACCCATCAATGTGGTATCTTAGCATCTCTTAGCTCCTGTTTTGTTTTTTGTTACTGCTAAGATTAAAAATGAAAGAGGAAGAGTGGCGAGAAGCCCAGAGAGGATTCAACAAGGTCTGGAGGGAGCAGAATGAGAAATATTACCTGAAATCCCTGGATCACCAGGGCATCAACTTCAAACAGAATGACACCAAGGTCCTGAGGTCAAAGAGCCTCCTCAATGAGATTGAGAGCATCTATGATGAGGTAAGGTGTCACTGATAGAGTCATTTTATCAGCTGTCTGGCTCTGAGCATGTGTTGTCACCTCCTCTCCACCGCCATCCCTCCTTGTTTGCCGGGCTATATTAATAGTGTAGCAGCATTTGTATCCCTCTAGGCCATTCATGGTCACCAGTTTCAGGGGGAAGGAGAGAATGCAGGCTGCTTGCCTGGTCATGGTATTTAGTGGTGGCTGCTGCTGCAGAGTGACTGAGTTAGCACTTGAGGGAACTGATGACTTACCTTTTGGCAACAGAAATCCTGCTGTGGTAAGAGCCACAGGTTCGGGAAGCGAAGAGTTATTACAGAAGGAGATGTGGAGTGTGTACATGCATGTATGTAATATGCATAAGCCCTTGACACCAGAACTTGGGTTGTTGTGATGGATAATGTGAACTCTGGTCCTTCCCCCATAGGGTTTGGGGTTGTAATGAAAGAGGAAATCCAGTTCATTGCCAGTGCTTTGTACAAGGGTCTTAAAGACGTGGTAAGTTGCATATGTGAGACTCACCCATGCTCTGTGTATTTGGTTTTCCTCCCTCAGAGGCAAGAGCAGGCATCAGAAGATAATGCTGGAGTACCCATAGGCCCACACTTGTCACTAGCCTATGAGGACAAGCAAATCCTGGAGGATGCTGCTTCTCTTATCATCCACCACGTGAAACGGCAGACAGGAATTCAGAAAGAGGACAAGTACAAAATTAAGCAGATCATGTACCACTTCATTCCGGACCTGCTGTTTGCTCAGCGGGGCGAGCTCTCAGACGTGGAAGAGGAAGAAGAGGAGGAAATGGATGTGGATGAAACCACCGGGGCTGCGAAAAAGCACAATGGAGTTGGGGGCAGCCCCCCTAAAGCCAAGCTGCTGTTCAGCAACACAGCGGCCCAGAAGCTACGGGGGGTGGACGAAGTGTACAACCTCTTCTATGTGAACAACAACTGGTACATCTTCATGCGGCTTCACCAGATCCTATGCTTGCGGCTGCTGAGGATTTGCACCCAGGCCGAGCGGCAAATCGAAGAGGAGAACCGGGAAAGGGAATGGGAGCGGGAAGTGCTTGGCATAAAACGAGACAAGAGTGACAGCCCAGCAATTCAGCTGCGACTGAAAGAGCCCAGTGAGTGTTCTCTTACATGGGTCTGAGTTGGGGAGGGCAATTGTGATAGGTGCTTTAATTTGCAGTGTGTGGATCTGGTACTTGATCTGTTTCCTGGTGTCTTGAGGAATCTGTGTTCCTCCCTCTCACCTGCCTTTAGGTCTTGTCTCTGTAAAATCCGGTACCTGCATTTTGGTAGTTTCCAAAATGTGAAATATAAGGATGCTTGTGGGCACCGAATGTAGCACAGCATGTTATCCAGGAGGAGATCTCTAGACCTGACCCTGGGACTTGGAACATCCTATTTCATGGGGCTGTGGGGGAGAGGCGTGGTATTTTGTATTGCTTTAACACTCCTTGCCAGCTGAATTTCTTAATTTTGGGTTGCGCTATTTTTCTACCTCATGAATTTACAAGTTGGATAAAAATCTTCTCTTGCCCTAAGCTTGTTATAAAATATCTCAGTGGAGGAGTCAGCCCCTGGCAATTGACAAAGCAGTCAGTTTTGGCTCTGGTATTAAAAAGTGTCTCCCCTTTTAAACTGGTGTTCAAATGATTTACTGACTAAAGAAGGCAGGGCAGGGCAAACCCAAGTAAGTCCAGGTAGTCCTATGTAGACCAGTAAAGAGCCTCCTTGATCTTCCATTTTCTGTTACAATGTTAGTGTAATCTTGAGTGGTCTCAGGAAATATATGTATTTAGAATTCTCCAAGGGATGGTTTCCTTGATGGTGATAATGCTAAAATACTAAACTGCCCATGGCTGCCTGTTTCCTGCTAGCTAAAACCAGAGTAAAGTAGCTAATTTGGATTAAAGCAAAGGAGGAAATGTGGACAATCTTTGTTGACCTTGAGGGATGCAGAGGTATTTGAACCTATAACAATTAAAAACAAACAGAAAACACAGATAACTTTTCAAATTCCCTTTAAATTGGCTTGTTCCTTAACCAGTATTTTCAAAAACTTTATTTTCATCTTCCCTTGATGCCTATACCGCAGTGATGAGTGTTAGTTCAAAACTGGGTGTACCCTGAATGGCTTTTTTCATTTTCCTCCCCTTTTTACTGTGTTTCTGCTACAGCCCACAAAACCTTTTAGAAGCTACATTGGCACATTCAGCTTGGAAAGGCGATAACCGTCTGTGTAGCTTGCTGGATAAGGTGCTGGAGAAACAGGAGACCTGGGTTCTAGTCCGAGTTCTGCTACTTAGTTACTGTGTGACCTCGGGCAAGTTGCTTCCCCCAAGTCCCTTGGTCTCTGTTTTACATTCTTCAAGGCGGGGCCTAGTTGGTTGTGTGTCTGAATGGTGCCAAGCACAGAGGGGTCGCAGATATAGTTTGGGACCTCTGGGTGCTAGTGAAATACAAGTTAATAATAATGTGCAATGCGTATATTTCATAAGAGCCTTAGGACATATCTGCGTTCATATCTTTTTGGTGAGGTCTCTGCTTTAATGGTGTGCATAATGTTGTTTTGGTAGCAAGAACCTCTTTAGTTCTGAGAATTTTACTATCTCTGCCTTCCTCCGTGAGGCCTCTGACGGGTTACAGACCTGGTATTAATTTGAAAAGCTCTCATTTAAAGTCTTACAATGTTGTCCCTCATTTTATTGACCATTCTGGTAATTCATCAATTTGTCTGAGACCTTCAACATGTGGCCCTTTTGCTCCCAGAACTCATAGTGGGCCTGTAGGAACTGCCTTTGAGGGGTGTTACAATGTAGTTCATGTTTCACCTTCTCTTCCTCTAGTGGATATTGATGTGGAGGATTACTACCCAGCTTTCCTGGATATGGTGCGGAACCTGCTAGATGGCAACATGGATTCGTCCCAGTATGAGGACTCCCTGCGTGAGATGTTCACCATTCATGCCTACATCGCCTTTACCATGGACAAGCTGATCCAGAGCATTGTTAGACAGGTGACTTGCAGCATACTGCCAGGGGAAGGGAAGGGTGGTGTCCAGGTGATAAAGGGGAAGTAGCTGATGCTTTCCCACAAAAGAGCACTCCCCACGGTTTAAAGGAAGCTTGGGAATGTTGAATGTATTTGTGTGATGTATTTCAGAGTGGAGGAGAGAACAGCAGGGGTTTCCTCCTGTGTCTCTAACATATTTCTGGAGATGGGAGAGGATAAGTGTTAGTGTATTTAAGTGATGAGGCTCAACAAGGTGTGTACAGATATTTAGGTTACCCAGCGACCTGTGGTGCTTTGTCTTCCCTCTTCAGCTTCTTTAAAGGTACGTGTATCTGGCATAACAACATTTCCCCAAGTAATGTTGCTTTAACAAAGAAATTGCTACATTAAGTGTGCTTAACAATATTTAAAATGCCCGTTTTTGAAGATTTGTAAACCTTCTATAAAAAGCAAAAAGATTGAATATTCAGATAGACGTGTATTTTAAACAAAATTCTATCTGTCTTGAGGGCAGGAATAACATGAGCCCAGAGGATTTTTTTCAGAATGTAGCATGTGCCTGAAATCATAAGAATGGCTATAATGGGTGAGACCAAAGGTCCATCTATCTCAGTATCCTGTCTTCCGACAGTGGCCAATGCCAGGTGTTTCAGAGGGAATTAACTCATCAAGTGATCCAATAATCAGGGGGATTATAGTGTGTGACTCTAATATACTCCTCAGGTATGTTCAAGCCTCATTCTTAAGGCAGGTTTCAGAGGGGTAGCCGTGTTGGTCTGTATCAGTTAAAAAAAAAAACTAGGAGTCCTTGTGGCATCTTAGAGACTAACAGATTTATTTGGGCATAAGCTTTTGTGGGCTAAAACGCACTTCATCAGATGCATGGAATGGAAAATACAGTAAGCAGGTATAAATATACAGCACATGAAAAGATGGGAGTTGCCTTACCAAGTGCAGACTGTCCTCTGCTATCCAAGAGGTGCCTAGTATCAGATGGGACCACATTTGAAGTGTTCGCTTGCTCTTAGAAAACCTGAAGCATTTGTAAACACAAGGACCAAAACTCTAAGGACTCTTGGAAAAGGTTCTGTATTTCTTTTGAATAACAACTTCCTTCTGGATTTCACACACGCTGGCGAGCTCTTGAAGCTGGTATATTTGTTGATTTCAGCTGCTAGTTGTCACTTGAACTCTGCAAGCCCAAGTGTCAACTCTCACATGCTGGCTACCTCGATGATCCCATTTCTATGGAGAATTGTTAAGCATAAATTAGAGTATAAAGACAGGGCTAAAAACAAGTTCTTTGAGTGCTTGCTCATATCGATTCCAATTAGGTGTGCGTGCACCGCGTGCACAGTCGTTGCTAGGGTAAAAATCTTCCAACACTCAGTGGGTCGGCTGAGGCGCCCCTGGAGTGGCGCCCTTATGGTGGAGGATATATGCCCCTGCCGACCCAGCGCCCCCTCAGTTCCTTCTTACCGCCTGTGGTGCTCGTTGGAACTGTGGAGCATGGCTTAGCTGATCTCCACTTCCCTAGCTCTTAGCTCGTTTATACTTGTAGATAGTTGTTGTTGTTAGAGTAGTTAGTAGTTTCTAGTTGTAGTTAATAGTAGTAATTGTTGTTAGTGTACATAGTAATTGGGGGTAAGGGGCTTCTCCCCTTCCCTCCCTCCTGGTACCTGGGCTCATGCCTAGGTCTCCAGGTTTCAAACCGTGCTCGGCTAGCCTTAAACCGATGCTTACGGGAGACCCCCACGACTCCTGTTTGAAGTGCCTGGAGGAATCCCATCAATCAGATAAGTGCCGCATTTGTAAGACATTCAAGCCTCGGACTAAAACAGAGCGGGACTTTGGCTTGAAGCAGCTACTGATGGAAGTGGCACTTAGCCCAATGTCCTCGGCTTCGCGCCGAGACCCAGTGCCGTTGGTCTGAAGCGCGCTTCCGGCACCGGAAACAACAGCTTCGCAACCCGGCACCGGTAAAGACTCCCAGCACCGGATGTCTCTGGCACCGCTACCAGCACGGCACTGCTCGCTGTCTCCGGGACCTAAGAAACAGCACAAGCAACCTGCTGCTCTTGTACGGTTGCCGGCACCTCCTGTGCCCACCTTGGAGCAGTGTCCCGTGCCGGACCGCCCCGCGAAGGTTCCAACACTGGCACCGTCGATTCCGGCGCCACAAGCACCGTTGAGTCCGGTGCACGTAAGCTCCCCGGTATGTACCGCGGTCGAACTCAGCCTACCTTCCACACTCAATGTCGAAAAGTCCACTTGGCAGACGACCCAAAGAATAGACTTCATTGGAGCAGTCCTGGATTCAAATCTCACCCGTGCGTGCCTACCGCATGCCCGCTTCCAGTCCATGGTGAATGTTATCCACAGCCTCCAAAACTTCCTGACCTCGACAGCACGCACGTGCCTCAGTCTACTGGGACACATGGCATCTTGCACCTTCGTGACCAGACATGCCAGACTGCGCCTCCGGCCACTTCAGGCCTGGCTCTCATCCGTGTACCGCCCAGGCCGGGACAATTTAGACACAGTGCTCACAGTACCGATGGAAATCTTAACCTCCCTGGTCTGGTGGCTGAACCCCAGCTCGGTATGCGGAGGGATGCCATTCCATGTCCCACAGCCCTCCCTGGTCTTAAGCACGGACGCATCATCTCTGAGCTGGGGCGCTCACCTTGCGGACCTTCGCACACAGGGCCTTTGGTCCACACAAGAGATATCCCTGCACATCAACGTACAGGCACTGAGAGCAGTGCGCCTGGAGTGTCAGGTGTTCTGCAAATATCTTCAGGGCCGTTGTGTCGCAGTTTTCACAGACAACACAATGGCCATGTTTTACATCAACAAACAAGGGGGAGCACGATCGTCCCCCCTCTGTCAGGAAGCCATTCGCCTGTGGGAATTCTGCATAGGTCACTCAATCGACCTGGTGGCATCGTTTCTCCCAGGAGTCCAGAACACCTTGGCAGATCGCCTCAGCAGATCCTTTCCGGCTCACGAGTGGTGGATTAACCCAGACGTTATCTATTCTGTTTTCCGGAAGTGGAGGTTTCCCCACAGAGATCTTTTCACCTCTCGTGAGAATCGGAAGTGCCAGGTGTTCTGCTCTCTGCAGGGGCACTCCCCGGGCTCCCTATCGGATGCCTTCCTGATACTGTGGAAAGACCATCTGTTCTATGCCTTTCCTCCATTCCCGTTAGTCCACAAGGTCCTTCTCAAGTTGCGCAGACACAAGGCCCGCTTAATCTTGATCGCCCCGGCGTGGCCCAGGCAACATTGGTACACCACTCTCCTCGATCTGTCGGTGACCACCCCAATTCCACTTCTGTTGTGGTCAGACCTGATCACTCAGGAACATGGCCGACTCTGTCATCCGGACCTGCAATCCCTCCATCTCACAGCGTGGATGCTGCATGGCTAACTCGATCTGAGCTACATTGTTCCCGCTTGGTGCAGCACGTACTTTTGGGTAGCAGAAAGCCCTCTACTAGATCCATGTATTTGGCCAAGTGGAAGCGTTTCTCCTGCTGGTGTGCCCTGAGCAATCCTGCCCCTCTGGAGATGTCAGTACCTACCATTTTAGACTATCTCTTGTCCCTGAAACAGCAAGGCCTGGCAGTTTCATCCATCAGAGTACACCTAGCAGCGATTTTGGCCTTCCACCTGGGCGAAAATGGGCGCTCGGTTTTCTCCAGCCCCATGGTCAGCAGGTTCCTCAAGGGATGGGAATGTCTGTACCCGCAAATTCAGCATCCAGCCCCTACGTGGGATCTCAACCTGGTCCTATCCAGACTCATGGGTGCCCCGTTCGAGCCAATGGACACTTGCTCGCTCCTGTACCTTTCCTGGAAAACAGCTTTCCTCGTCGCTATCACTTCGGAGCTTCGAGCCCTGATGTCGGACCCACCGTATACGGTGTTTCATAAGGACAAGGTACAGCTGCGACCACACCCGGCCTTCCTTCCTACGGTGATGTCTGTCTTCCATGTCAACCAGGACATCTTCCTTCCGGTCTGCTATCCGAAGCTGCATGCTTCTGGACGAGAACAACAATTGCACTCGTTAGACGTTCGTAGGGCCTTCGCCTTTTACATTGAACGAACGAAACCTTTTAGGAGGACATCCCAGCTGTTCATAGCAGTGGCAGACCGGATGAAAGGCCTTCTGGTCTCCACCCAGCGCATCTCGTCCTGGATCACATCATGCATCCGTGCGTGCTATGACTTGGCTGGTGTCACAACTATGCACCTTACCGCCCACTCCACCCGGGCTCAAGCTTCGTCCTCCGCCTTCCTGGCTCATGTACCCATGCAGGAGATCTGTAGGGCAGCAACTTGGTCATCGGTACATACCTTCGCTTCCCACTATGCGATAGTGCAGCAGTCCCGGGGTGATGATGCATTTGGTTCAGCGGTCCTTCACTCCGTGACATCTCACTCCGACCCCACCGCCTAGGTAAGGCTTGGGAGTCACCTAATTGGAATCAATATGAGCAAGCACTCGAAGAAGAAAAGACGGTTACTCACCTTTGTAACTGTTGTTCTTCGAGATGTGTTGCTCATATCCATTCCAAACCCACTCTCCTTCCCTCTGTTGGAGTAGCCGGCAAGAAGAACTGAGGGGGTGCTGGGTTGGCAGTGGCATATATCCAGGGCCATAAGGGCGCCACTCAAGGGGGCGCCTCAGCCGACCCACAGAGTGTTGCTAGGGTAAAAATTTTCCGACGATTGTGCACGCGGTGCACGCACACCTAGTTGGAATGGATATGAGCAACATATCTCAAAGAACAACAGTTACAAAGGTGAGTAACAGTCTTTACTGTCAAGTTTCAGTTTTGATAGGAAATTGGCAGCCAACCGGCTCTTTATTTAAATTTGGGAATATAATTAATAATTAGAATTTGATTAAAAATAATTAAATTTCCCCTCCACAAACAAACAACTAATCAACCTTTGGATTTGGTGTAACGATTCCATGGCAAGAGAACTGGCTAACAAGCCCTTCCCACGTACCTCGATGGTCTAAATCTTTGCCAGCTGTCAGGCATTTCCTTCATAATGCTCACTTAAAGGTTATTAATCCATAGTTACTTTGTATGTGTAACTGTACTTTGCCAGCATCATTATTTATTTTAAAGGACACAATGTTTTCCAATGGGTGTAGTAGTAATTCACAGTAGAAGAGGCTACTATGTTCATAACCTAAATAATTGTTTTTTAGTTTTAATACTTAGATGGCTAGAATTTTTTTTGCTTTTTTTGCTGTGGTTTGACCAGACAGAGGTTTGAAGCAGGAATTTTGAA